CGAAGAAGAGGTGTGCAGTCCCAGTCCCACACTCGGCAGTTGGATGCAACTTCATACGGAGCTTGGTTCAAAAACGATAGAATTGCAGTGTAGAGGACCTTCTGTCGATTGCATGCTTGTTCAATCTTTTTTTGGTTGGTGGTAAAGAGTGTAACGCTAAGCCCCAGATTTATTCCTTCCCTTGATGTTTCTTGTTCTTCTTGTTTCTTTTTCTTCTCTCCTGTTCCCTTTCTTCTCATTTCTTTTTCTCCTGAGCGTTTTCCTTTTTCCTCTCTTCTCCGTCCTGTCGGCGGAGGACCGATGGCCAGCGAAAGGAGGGATGATCCACGACGAGCAGCAGCTCGGCCAGGCCAGAGTGGAAATAATTAACGGGAATTAGTTTAATCCCGGCAAAGACAAGCCCGCAGGAAGTATACTTTATGGGCTGTATCGAGCTTGTAACACTGGGGTCCCAACCCAGGGTGCATGGACTTGGCCTGGTTCCTGGTTGGTCTGCTGCATCGATCGCTCGCTGGGCGGGGAGTACATCGGGGACCATCCTCCCCGACATCAGGTTATTGTTCGCAGTTCTCTTGGACCGCACAAATGCAGCGCCTGAACGCGATGCATGCGAGGCCTGCCTGGTCGTCGTGGAAAGGCAGAAGAAGATGAGGTTGAGGTTGAGGTTGAGGTTGGAAAGGCCGAAAAAGCTGCGTGGAGTCGCCCAAAAGGGGGCTAGCACGTCACGGGGTTTGTCACGAGACCAGGAGCGGGTTAAAGTTCCTCCGCCAGCTCGTGACCTGCCCCGTGACCGCTCTAACCCGAAAAAGAAAACAAAAACAACCTCCCGGCTCTCTTTTTTTCCTTAGTCATTATTACTTTTTGCTTCCAACCTCAACCTCCATCCTGCAGCGAGTTTGTTACATTCACGCTTCTTTTTTTTTTTTTTCCTTTTCCCCTTTTTTCTCCAGCGCTGGTTGGGCGTTGTTGGTTGCGCTAGCGGACGCACTAGTACGGCGTTATACTGCGGTTGTAAATAATACGCCAGAGGTGAGGTGAGTTCTCCTCCTTCCCCCGCTGGCGCGTTGCTGGAATCAAAAGGCGCCAGCAGCCCTGAGCTCTCTCAAGGGGAGGGGACCACTACCAGATGTCCGAGTACCCCTGGTTGCATATAAATACTTTCCAGCCACGAGTTGATGCTAATTCCAACCCCTTGCTAGACTCCTTTTTTGGCTTCTAAAATTGATTAGCCAGGGCTGACTTGGACAGGGATTCTCAAACTGAGATCTAAACCGCTGTCTCTCTAAGAAGTGCTTCGCACAGTCGATTCCAACGTCAGCGAAAGCAAATAGGCCAAAAGAAATATTAAACGGCGGGCAAGGTTGTGCCGCCTACGGAAGGTACAGAAGTGACAAGACCAGAGTCTTTTGAACAGCAACATCTCACTCAATCCATCCGTTCCGTATTTTGACCTGGGAACTCGTCAAATCACGGAAGAAAAGAAAGAGAGAAAAAGCAAACAGGAAAAAAAAAGAGGGAGAGAGAAACGAAGTTAAAAAAAAGTATATCAGTGAAGTTATTGAGAGAAAGCAAGACTGGCAGGACTCCACATATAGGTTGTCCACACACTCACATCGTACTTCTCGAACCCTCCTTCGCAAACCCTGGCTTGGTTCTCGGTCACCTTTTTTTTACGCTCCAAAGGTGGAGAACGACCTTTCCCCCATCGGCATACTGCGGTATCCGGAACCTCTCGCCTCCTCCCCCCCTTCCCCAAGGCAAAAGGGAGAACAAAAAAAGAATTAAAGTACAAAAAGGAGGAGAAGGACAATTTCCTTTTTAGGCCTACGGAGTATCAGACAAGCTGGACGTGGCATCGTATTTCCCTGGCATATCTCGAGTTTCTGTTGTTCAGACCTCACTTCGGCCTCCAGCGGCTGCGTCTACTAACCACAAACTGGATCAAAGCAACGGTGATATATTGATCCGATTACTTCGAGAAGAGAGGAATCCCTGATTGGATGATCCAGGCACAAGTGTTCTTTTGATATTTCGCTTGTGATTGCGCCCTCACCGAAGGAAGGCCGCCTGAGAGAGGCCGAATTATAAAATTACGTCCCCACAGCCAACCAGACGATCCACACGCCTTTTAACTTCTACTTCTTCTTCCTTTTTTTTATTTGCAAGGACAGCAACATTATCTTCCTGCTTTTGACCTTCGACCAGTTGGTATCTGTACCGCAAGCCGCCAAAACGCCATCTTGACGCCAGTATCAGTTTCCTTCAGCTCAACTATCAGGTGCTGCATTGAACAAGTACCGGTACGCCGTACAGTTCCCTTTCTCACTCGGCAGCCTCCCTTCTTCTTTACTTAATCTCCGTGATTAGGTTCACATAAGCAAGAACGTGACAGCGAGGACAAGAGAAGCAAAGAAACGGCCAATAGTGCTGCCACTCCTTTTTTGCTCATCCATCATCTTTTGACTCCATCTGCAACCTTCCTTTCCACCTCTTTATCAGCCCGCAAGGAGATACAAAAAACAAAAAAGGGCATTGGAACAGATATAACTCTCCATCAAATCCATAATTTTACCACCAACTCCTTGAGCGGTCCACTTGGCGGATCCCTATTATTTTTTCCCCCAAGCAATTGGGTCGTCGTCTCGGTGCAAAACCCAAACGGACAAGCCAGGCAAAAAGCAAAGAGATTGTCTTTTTTTCATTCGTTCCGACTCTCCCCAAAGGCCCACCCTTGATAGACGCTCCAAACTACCCTTTTAAACGGACAGCTGGGAGGTTTGGACTTTATTTTTTCTTTGGTCAAAAGCCGGCCGCCTTGCCACTGTCTCAGCACTACGACCACCACCGAAAAAAAAAAATCCCCCCCTTCCTGTGCAGCTAGGAACATTCCAACCCTTCCTTTTTTAGTGTCGCATTTCCATCTCGAAACAGACGCTATTAATACTTCCTGGTTTCTTCTATTCCCATTGACTTTGGCGCTACTGCGAATCGATCACCAGGTGCTGTCAGCAACGAAATAGCACCACACGCTACCGTCTAGACGTCCCGATTGGAAATAAAACCATACTCTCTTTGTACTGGTGTCCTTTTCCCAAGGGTCAATCTCTTTTTTTTTTTATTCCTTTTTTTTTTTATTTTTTTCGCTTGCGACCTGCTTAAACTTTTCCGGTTTCTCCCTGGTTCACGCGGCTTCTTCCCCCTAAAGTTGACGGACAACGGGCACTTAAGCACGCTATATTTGAGAAGTGCATATCCAAAAAAGCATACGGCGGATACACTCAGCAGCAAAGGAAAGGGAAGAGAAAAAAAAAAAGGAAGAAGAAGCCCCTTCTCCACGCGACCGTTCTTGACGAAAGCAACAATAAGGGCCAAACCATCCTTCGTTCATCCCCCAGCCCTTTTCGAACTACTTCTTAAATCCAACCCTAGTTCGTTTCCACGAGCAGTTCGGCGCGTCAAAGTCCATCTTAGTTTTTTTACTTCTTCGACTACTTTTCACCATCTGTTTACTCGACTTACCAACTACCCGCTAAGAACCCCCGACTTCTTAGCTTCCCCCTCGCCATCGCTGGACCGGTCTTTCTCAACGGAGCACACTACCAGGACAAGCTTCGAAACCTATCTTCTATCACTCTTTTTCATTTGCCGTCTTTGCTCCTTTCGACAAATAAAACCATTGGCGCGCACCAACCTCTTCGGTCTTTGGCTCCTGCTTGTGACTACTGCTGCTCCTACTTCCCCGGTTTGAGGTAAAACTCGTTGGAGGAGAGAGAGCCAGAAAATAACACCAGGGGAAGCTTTGTTACCGTTGAACATAACGCGGCCAAAGCTATTTTATATGGACAGGCCTGCCTCCGACTACGCGCAAGCAGGTTTGAGCCCTCAATATCCAAGTCTCCCGGAGGCACAGTCTGAACAATCAACCGCAGATCAGGCAACTGCTTCTGCTGCCGTCGCATCCCCTACCCAAACCGAAGCTCGTCGAACGCCTCAGTCCCAGTACTCAGCGCCTCCAGAACCTCGATCGGGCGGTATCTCGGCCTCGAATACCCCCCAACCAGACTACAACTTGCATCAGAACTCTTCCCATCCTCCACCGCCTCCGGCCGCCGCGCGCCCGTCTCCCTACCCTGAATACCTGACGCGCCAGCCTCAGTACCACCACGCTCCTCATACTCAAGCCGGCGGGCCGCCAGGTATGGCTCAAGCAACAAGTCCGTCCATGAACCCGCAAGATGGGCAACAGAGTGACCATCGAAGTCCCGCGCAAGTAAAGTCTGACACCGAGGTTCCTATAGATCCCTCGATTGCAGCCTCGAGTCCGTCCTATCCTCCACCATATTCTCCTTACGCTCCTCAAAGTCACGACATGGCGCAATATCAGAGTCACCCTCCGCAGATGTACGCGCGACCAGACTGGCCACACCAGTATGGCGCTCATCAACCTGGAATGCCAGGCCCTTATAGTTCCCCGGCTTCGGTGAGTTCAGCTTCCCCCGCTGCCACCGCTGGGCCACGACCTGGACAGGTACGGATCCTCCCATTTTAATGTTTCCTCCCCCCTCCCCCCCCCTCCTCTTCTCTTTTCCTTAGAGGGCAAGTTTCTTATGCCTTATGACCACCAGTGGACTGAACAGGCCATCTGATGTGTTTTCTTCTTCTTTGTCTTGCATTAGACTCATTATAGATCCCAGGTTTTCTCTTTTGTGCCTATCCCCGGCTCTCAACAACACAAGCGGCCTAGACGACGATATGAAGAGATTGAGCGGATGTACAAGTGCGGCTGGAATGGTTGTGAAAAGGCCTATGGCACACTAAATCATCTCAATGCACACGTCACAATGCAGTCACACGGCGCTAAGAGATCTCCAGATGGTTTGTATTCCCTTTTTATTCTCCTATCCTTGTGTCTTATAGAGGCTACTCTATATTTTCCTTGCCGTCTCCCTGCCATCTACCCCCTTGCATCCCTTAGCCTGTGTAACAGAAGCTTGGGTCGCTGCTCGAAGCCTGCATCTTGGTGGAGTGTGCAGTAGCGTCTGAACCAACCCCAAAGCTTAAGCAGCTACCCTTCACTATGCCAAGACTATGCTAAAGCTAGTACCAACTTTCACTTTTGGCATCTTCTATCTTATGTCTAACTAATTATTGTTATTTGACTAACGAGCTGTTGATACTTTATAGAATTCAAAGAGATCCGCAAGGAATGGAAAGCCCGTAAGAAGGAGGAAGATAATCAGCGCAAGGCCGCCGAGGAGAGAGAACGGGCTGCAGCCCAAGCCAACCAGGTTGATAGCAATGGCGCTCCGAGTGGTAGCGGCCAGCCCAGCCAGCCAACTACCTCCTACGCTGCCGGCGTTCGGCCTCAGCTGCCGCCAATAGGCTATCAGCCAGCAGATGGTCAAGTGCCAGGTCAGTATGGTGCTCCTCCTGGTGGTTTGGTCTACCCACCTGGCAATGGCCAGATGCCTGCTACCTACTCTCCAAGTTACCCCCATTCTCCATATGGTCAGGGCAGCCAGGTCTACCCACAACCACCGCGTGAGTGATGTCACGACCCTGTTTTTCTACATTTCTTTGTTATCTACCTCTTCCACATTCTCCTACATACTCCTTTAATCCCCCCTCTACACCCGTGTTTATCCTCGTTACTTGCCGGTTGTCTACCCTTGCCCAAGCTACATGTTGTTGGTCGCACATTCAACCCCCATTCCCCGTATTCTCACAGCCCCGGTGAGATCTGGCAACCAAGAAAGTTACTGGGCAACGTTCGTCTTACATATCATGCCCTGTTGTCTTCTTGGAATGCGAAGTTAACACCAAGGGGCAATTTAAAGCAAGAGGCTGATCCAACTCATCTAATTGGCGATGCTGAACGCTAACATGATCATCCCAGAGAACCAGTCCAGCAACTATCCATAAATTAATCTAATCAAGACTGCGGAATACCCCCTCCCACCACTCCCCCTTTTTTCACCTTACACTTTACGCTATAAAAACACTTTCTCCCACTCGTCTGTTGATGCCCCAATTACTTTAATTGCGTTTATCCACGGCCCTACCCTCTCCCCTACGCCCCTTCTCCCCTGTGCCCGGCAAATTTTTTACCTTACATAAATTTTTATCCCCAGCAATGGCTTGTTACCACCCTAGTTTTTTGTTTTCTTATTTTACACGCCGTCGCCCAACCCAACATCTGGATGAAGAAAGGGGAGAGAAATAACTAGCTAATCCTAATATGTTTGTTGGGAGCCGGGGCCTCTCACTTACATTTCTCCTCATTCCTCTTCTACACTTTCCTCCCAGAATATTTCATTACCATGCCGCCCCTTTCAACTTACCTGGTGGCCCTATTATGTCTCTATTACAACTCTTGATATCCATCTCGCCTTTCATCTCATCTCTTTGGTCGTCTTTTCTTGCATTTATCTACTGTCTTTGTTTCTGCACTTAAACCCATCTCAAATCAAATAGAGGAGGATGTCTTCACCTTGTATGAGGAACCAGTGAAGCGAAAGGGAAACGGAGGAAAACACACCACAAAACCAAACACATGACAGTCCCGTATAAAGGGGGAAAAGGAACATGAACTCAAGGCCTTTTTTTAATACTCACGAGCAAATGGAATGAAACCGATATACCTTGGTAACAACTCTAGAGGCAAACGGTGGCGGTGGGCGGCGGTCAGAAGGCGTAACGTTCTTTTTTTGTCTTTATTCCCCAAATTCGCTTGCTTCTTGCGTTCTTTTGATTTCCTGCCAGGGGTTGCTGGTTGTTGGTTGGGTGGTTTGAGGCGGTTTTTGCATGGTTCTGAAGCCTTTTCTCTACCCTTGGTTGCTTGCTTGCTTGCTTGTTGCTTTGCTGTTGTTCGTGCTTTTAATATGTTTATTACCCCCCTTTTGAGTCTCCTTTTGTTTGATGCTAGTTTAGCTCTTCCAGCTGTTTTTATTTAAAATGTATTCTCTCTTCGCCGTCACTTTCCTCTCCATAATGTATTCTGTTTAGTAGAGTCGGCAATCAGCTTGCTGCCAGAATTGGTAGGCCTATCCTTGATTTGACAAGGGGGTTTGCGTGGTGTAGTTCTGTACATCCAGACACCTACGGCGGGCAATATTTTTCACCAGATAACTAGTTATAGCTCCTATATGTTTCAGAGGCGGCAACAGGTAACATCGGGTTCTTCTTCGTTATTCGGCTTAATATGTATGCGTTTGATGATGTCAAGCTGGCGCTAGTTATGCCGAGCGCAGGGTTTAGTTAACTTGTCCGAGTAAAATATCCATCGTCGCTTCTACCGAGGCGGGAAGTTCAATCACCAACATTGCGGGGAACAAATATGGGACTGAAGCGTGTCCTCGTTATCGCAGGCTCGGATAGCTCGGGAGGGGCGTAAGTATCGGCGCCATTCATAGACGGAAGCGTTGATTGATGTTAATCACCGAATAGTGGCCTGGAGGCTGACCAGCGAGTTCTCACTGCCCATGGCTGTTATGCACTCACTGCCACGACGGCATTGACCGCGCAGAACACCCTTGGGGTCCAGGATATCCATGTTGTGCCGACAGAGTTCGTAAGAAAGCAGATTAAAGCCGGCCTAGAGGATGTTGGGGCCGATGGGGTTAAGATAGGTGCGTTGGCAAGGTCCCATCGTCTCATACTTCTGCCTTGACATCAAGATGTGATAACCATTAGCCGAATACTAAAATATATGTGTGTATCCAGGAATGCTGGCTTCTGCTGAAACAGCAGTGATGGTGGCGGAAGAATTGAAAGCTCATGAAGTGCATTCAATCACCTTAGACCCCGTATGTCCATTGACCTAACGCGGGAGACAGACTGTTAGGGTCTAATTGTTTACTTGAAGGTTATGATATCTACCAGCGGTTCACAGCTGCTGCCATATACCACCGTCCTCACCCCGAATATCCCAGAGGCAGTTCTTCTGCTTCGAGATTCCGGTGTGGACGTGAAGGAGCCAGAGAATCTACATGATGCAATCGCTCTCGCAAAACAGGTCCATAAACTTGGTCCCAGGTATATACTGTTGAAGGGCGGTCATCTCCCTCTGAACGCCCAGCGAGAGAAGCCCACGGCGGATGCAGATGCGGCCATTGTTATTGATATACTATACGACGGCGAGACAGTGACTTTAGTGGAAGCTACCTTTTCAAGGTCTAAAAACACCCATGGTACCGGGTGTTCCCTTGCATCTGCGATTGCAGCTAACCTTGCTAGAGAGATGGAAATCACACGGGCAGTGAGGGAAGCATGTCGATATGTTGAAGCTGGGATTAACACCAGTGTTGATTTGGGAAAGGGAAACGGACCCATTAACCATTTTCATTCCCTCTACTCACTGCCTTATGCACCGTAAGTGGTAACACTGTGGGAGTTTATATCCTTGCTGCTAACACACTATGAAAGTGGGCACTTTATAGATTACATCCTGGAGCGGCCAGATGTTCAGCCTGTATGGAAAGCTTTCACTGAGCATGAATTTGTGCAGAAGCTTTCCATCGGGGCGCTTCCTGTTGAGAATTTCAAATGGTACCTTGTTCAAGACTATCTATATCTAGTATGTGGTACGCCAATTGGGAGACTTGATCTATAGCACATTCTCACGCCGGCAACAGGTGAATTTTGCACGAAGCAATGCGCTGGCTGCCTATAAAAGCCATACTATCGATACCATTGCCATGGTAAGGAACCATGCTTCAGATGAAGGAGCTCATCCGCTAATTTTATCCTAGTCTGCCCAAATTGTCCTCCATATCCAGCATGAGATGAAACTGCATCTCGACTACTGCGCCTCATTTGGCCTATCAAAAGAGGACATTGAAAGTTCAAAAGAGAGCTTGAGTGAGTCCTTTACCAACCGATGGTCCCTCATTTGGGATGACTATTGACGATTTAATTAGCGTGCACGGCCTACAGCCGGTATATCCTCGATATCGGCCAATCGGGTGACTGGCTTGCTCTTCAATTTGCGCTTGCCCCTTGCCTCCTCGGCTATGGTGCAATAGCACAGCGGCTCTTCCATGCTGAAGAAAGCGTTCGAGAAGGCAATAACTACTGGAAATGGATTGAAAACTATGTTGCAGACGATTACTCTGCAGCCGTCAAGCTAGGCTCAGGTGAGAACTTCTACATACATACCATCTTTACATGTTTCTGTTAAAGCACCTCTAACTGGCTTACTCTGGTAGCCACACTCGAGAAGCATTCAAGACACATATCGCATTCCCGTGTGGAAGAACTGGTCCGGATTTTTATCCGAGCCACGGAGCTTGAGATAGGATTCTGGGATATGGGTTTGCGGGGGGAGTAGCTGAGCGCAAAATACTACTTATTCTGCCCCGTATGGCAGCCTTGATACTGAGACTATAGATACAAGATGCAAAGTATATAAATCACCCCAAAAGTACAGATTACTCGTTAAATTAAAAGAAACACCAGCCGGGTATAATCGCAGTGTGAATGATGGAATGCTTCTTATCTCTTTTTGCCTCCGATTTCTAGGCCGAACTGCTTACTAAACACGATTACATAATAAAATACACGTGACAATGACATAAGCAGAAAACTCAGTTTGACTTTTGAAAAGAAAAAAAAAAATTCAAACGAAAAGAAAAAAAAAAAAACTCAGATACTTTTTTTCCGCTTCGAAATATTTATTTCAACGCCGCGCCTCAACTTCATCTCATCAACAACCAACGCCCCAACTCGCCAAACTTCTTTCACATCCATATTCTCCTTCTGATATATTCTGGAGAAAAAGGCTGTGACTGTTACTCTTCATTTTTCCGATCTACTCCTCCTTTGAATCCTTTGATCATGTCTTACGGCGGTGGCGGTTACAGAGACCACCAGGGCGGTGGAGGTGGTTACAACTCCAGGTAAGCATAAGCTGGTCTATTTCTGAAGTGTCTGTCAGTCGCTCGCTGGATGGAGGGACCGTCCAGGAGTGGTGACAGAATCTCTCGACTCAGTTCTTCGCGGAGCAAGGAGGAGGGAGCCTCGTTCTAAGACGTCCACTAACTCATTCAAGATACAGGGGTGGCGGCGGTTATCAAGGTGGGAGCAGCGGATACTCCAACGGACACTCCAGCGGCCCCAGCTATGGAGGCGGCTTTGGAGGCGGCTATGGAGGTGGTGCCGGCGGTGACAGAATGTCAAACCTCGGGGCTGGCTTGAAGACTCAACAATGGGGTATGTCTGCCTATTATGGGGAACATTATCATCTTCTTTGAAAATGTTATCACTAACCTGCTTCTTTCTAGACCTCAGCTCCATGCCCAAGTTTGAAAAATCCTTCTACAAGGAACACCCAGATGTTTCGGCCCGAAGCACCCAGGAGGTCGAGGCCTTCCGAAAAGAGAACGAAATGACTGTCTACGGCAAGGATGTTCCGCGCCCCGTTCAGACCTTTGACGAGGCTGGTTTCCCACAGTACGTCATGTCCGAGGTGAAAGCCCAAGGGTTTGCCAAACCAACTCCGATTCAGTCTCAGGGTTGGCCCATGGCCCTCTCTGGACGTGATGTTGTCGGTATTGCAGAGACTGGTTCCGGAAAGACTTTGACCTATTGTCTGCCAGCTATCGTGCACATCAACGCCCAGCCTCTCCTTGCCCCTGGTGACGGCCCTATCGTCCTGGTTCTCGCGCCAACTAGAGAATTAGCTGTCCAGATCCAGGCTGAAATCACCAAATTTGGAAAGTCCTCCCGTATTCGGAACACTTGTGTCTACGGTGGTGTCCCTAGAGGCCCGCAAATACGTGACCTGACACGAGGCGTCGAAGTTTGCATTGCTACGCCTGGTCGTCTTATCGATATGCTCGAGTCTGGAAGAACTAACCTTCGAAGAGTTACCTACCTTGTCCTCGACGAGGCTGACCGCATGTTGGACATGGGTTTCGAGCCTCAAATCCGTAAAATTATCAGCCAGATTCGTCCCGATCGTCAGACTTGCATGTGGTCTGCTACTTGGCCCAAGGATGTCCGCCAGCTGGCTAACGACTTCCTTCAAGATTACATTCAGGTGTACATTGGATCTCAAGACTTGTCTGCTAATCATAGAATTACCCAAATCGTTGAGGTCGTATCAGAATTTGAGAAGCGCGATCGAATGATAAAACATCTCGAACGAATTATGGAAGATAAGAAATCGAAGGTCCTCATCTTCACAGGTACAAAGCGTGTCGCCGACGATATCACCCGATTCCTCCGTCAAGACGGCTGGCCAGCGCTATGTAAGTTATTAACCATGTTCACCTTGTTTTCTTTTATGAACCTGAATCATTTACTAATATATGCGGGTTTAGCTATTCACGGTGACAAGCAACAGAATGAACGTGACTGGGTATTGAACGAATTCAAGACCGGCAAGAGCCCGATCATGGTGGCTACAGATGTAGCTTCGCGTGGTATTGGTATGATAAATCTGCAACCCCCCTTCCTCCCCTTCTCCAAACCCATTTCCATCATGTCATAGACATTGCTCTATCTCGAGCCAATGCTGTTGACATGTCACCCATATTGATGTCGTGTGATCGACTCAAATGCTTTGCTCTCATAACATGTTGGTAAACATGACTACTTGGGCCTTCCTTATGGTTTCCCTACCCAAGGAATCCTTGGCTTTAGGATGCAGTGTAGCATGCCGTGCTTCTGATTATGCCTCTCCAATCTGTTAATCCACGCCAGGAGAGAGGCAGAGTTCTATTGTCTGAACTTTTCAAACTGCGTTTCTAAGTTTATCCAGGACCAAGAGTAACTGTCAAACCCATGGACTCGTAAACAGGTGGATTCTGAAATCAGTCCGAGAGAGTTATGCATCGAGTCCCACACGACGGAGAAAAGGGCCATGGCCATTTGATTCTCTCGTCTATCTTTAATGTCTGCTAACCCCAGTGTTGTGAAGATGTTCGCGATATCACTCATGTGCTTAACCATGATTATCCGAATAACTCGGAAGACTATGTCCACCGTATCGGCCGTACTGGCCGTGCTGGTGCCAACGGTACCGCCATCACCCTGTTCACCACTGAGAGTACGTATACTTCTATTTCCTATTTCCATATTCATCCCCATAATAATGCTATGATACTAACTGTCACTTAGATGCTAAACAAGCCCGTGACTTGGTTAAAATTCTCACCGAGTCCAAGCAGCAGATTGACCCCCGTCTTGCTGAAATGGCTCGTTACGGTGGTGGCGGTGGTGGCGGCCGTTACGGTGGCCGTGGCCGTGGCCGTGGTGGCTTCACTGCCTCTAACTCTGCTCCTCTTGGAAACCATCGACGATGGTAAATCACGTAGTACTGCCTGAACAGCTTTCAATCTTTCGATTCAACTGTATTGAGGATAACTGTCTGCCTCAATATGTCGATACCTCTCAGATTACCGTCCTAAGGACCAAAAACCATCATCGCGATTCCGTACGATAGACAGTAATGTCACCTTCGGCTCAATCTCCTTATTCCCCTTGCTTTTCTCTCTACGTTCGAACTAAAAACACAACCGGGCCATCCGAATACCTAGATTTCCTCCTGCTTGTTCAACTTTTATTTCTTTGCTTTCATATGTTCCGAGGCTTATACAGGTCTTCTGCTTTTAAATTACGGGCGACGGGAAGTTTTGTTGCTGCTTTATGGTTTAAAATTCTTCCCCCAGATTGACTGCATACCCATGGATTGCACTTCGACCACGGAAGGGTTGAAGGCATATCTGTATTTTATTAATCTTACGTTTAGACATTAAAAGTCAAATAATTAACAGTTTATTGATATTTACTCTCAGTCTTCATTAGACTTATTCGATGGTTATCAACACTGTAGTTCTACATAAGGCTAGTTAATAATGCGGCTCAAACAGGTCTGAAAAGTGATATTGACACAAAGCCCAAGTCTATCAAGAGATCTAGGAAAATGTTTTTTATCTTTCTTGGATGGTGGGTAACTTTAATGACAGTAAAGAAATCATTATATATATTAATACAACTAAACGAAGCGGGTATCCATCAACATGTATCCAAAGAGTGAAGGGTACCTTGTCTGAAAACACAGTGCGCATTCCGATGTCGACCACTTAAATGGTTGTATTAAACGCCATGATTGCGGTCAGATTCAACATCATTGTCAATTACTTCTCGGCTTGTAAACTGCTTGAAGTAAGGGGCAAACATAGACAACCTCTCGCAATCTTTGGTGAGCCAATCTCGATCTGAGTCTGAGAGGAAGGATGGCACCGAAGAGGTTTCAGGGGAGGACTCGGATGCTGATAGCACAGATCGAGGGTTAAGGATTCTCCTGTATAGAGAAATGGACTGCCACAAAACTTTAAGCAACTCAATGCGGTTGGGACCTTCTAAAGCTTTGCCTGGCACAACAGAAGACTGGGCTTTGAGTTTTCTCAGTGCTTTTTGTACAGTGACGTCCTTTTCTGCATCGTCTGGTCCTGCATTCTGTGCAGTGTTCGGTTCTTCTCCATTGCCTTGAGATGAACCAACAAAGCCCGGGTCTAGGGGCATCTTTTGGTATCTAATGTAGCCGAATGCAAGTAGCTCGATGGCATCCTGAGTACGCAACCTCAGATGGGTAAGAGCTTTGAGAAGGCGTGTTTGGTGTAACTCAACAGTTGCAGTTGTCGGGCTATCAAGAGAATGTTTTAGTCGAATCTTGTTTATATTAGCTGAGTCTGAAATGAGTTTCTCCTGGTTAACAAGAGCCCGGACAAGCTCTATATATCTCAGTACGTAGCTTGGGTCCAGTTCTGGGGCAAAGGAAGAAATATCCAGAAGTCTGTTTGCAATGTCTAGAACATTTGGGTTGTTCCTGTCGCGGGAACAGGTGCTGAGAGCGATGGTAATGGTCTTTCCGGCGACTAAATTTTCGGGAACCATGTGGTTCTCGACCACTTTTAGAGACTCAGCGCTGGCTCTATGGTGGCGGAGAAGACGAAGGTATTCATGACAAGAACTAGAGTCAGGTTTGACATTGTGACCACCATTGTCAGTAGTAAGAGTGGTCCAATAATGCCGACCGCTGGCCATTCCATTATGTGCCATATTTTGGCAAATTTGGATCAAGAGTGACAGCTCGATGTTAGTTGGAGATGGAAGATTAACACTGAAGTTCTTTTTGGAGCCAGCTTTTCCTTTCAGAGCCGTACGAATTTCCGC